AACCTCAGAATGATTCACATGAATTCCAGACTGAGTAAGGAAGAAGAAAGGCCAAGTGGGGACTGACAGATTTGGAGAAAAGGCTGTACACAAGGTTTTCAAAAAGCTCATGAAAAAGGTATATGACGGGGACCAGCAGATGGTACAGTGGTTACGTCGCTGCACTCACACATAGCTGACTACAGTTCAACCCAGACCTGGTGGCTTCAAAATCACACCATGTGTATGTGCATGTGTGCCCATGATCCTAGGAGAATAGAGGAGAAGAGACTGTGGTGTGACCATGCCCTGGGGAGGAGATTTCTCACTTTCCCTCTCAATGTCCCTGTCTCTCTCTGTCTCTGAACTCATGCACCCTAAGGTAAAAACCTTTTTTTTTTAAAAAAAAAAAAAGGTATATTATGAAGAAAGCATGTACAGATTTCAATTTTTTTGTTTTTTTTTTTGTTTTTTTTGGAGAGGTTTTGGCTATAGGGCACATGCGCTCGTCCGAGGGAGAGACAGAGCGCACGAAAGCAAGAAATCACCCCCCAGGGGGGATGGCCACGACACAATCCCTTCTCCTCCATTCTCCTCTTGGGATCTTGGGCACGCACACACATGTGCCCGGCGTGAGTTTAAGCAACCGGGTCTAGGACTTGAACCATGGTCGACTACATGGGAGTTAAGCGACATAGCCATTATGCTAACTGCTGGTCCTCAGATTTCAATTTTTTGCACCAAAATAAATTCATGCTTTAATCACACTTTTCTGCAACTTTTTTTTGATGCCCCCTCATAATAAAAGGGAAGCTATCCCACATTATGCAAAATTTAGAAGGCTGGGAAAATTCAGAGCACAGACTCTTTGCTGAGGATGCTCAGGAAGGCACACTGATGCTCAAAGAATGGCCCTATCACTGTCTCCTCTGTACTTTCCTAACCACTTGGTCTTCTCCCTCCATACACAAATATGTTTAAGTCTCTCCCACATTTAACAGCAATAACAGTTAAACTTCCTCCATGGCCAAAGCTCATCTGCTGTAGAAAGTTCTGTCCATTTCATATAAACACTGAGGTGGCATTTTCAGACAGTGGGAGGAAAAATAGATTATTTAATAGCTAGAGTTGAGGGCCAGCCCTGTAGTGCAATAGTTAAGTATTGTGTGTTGGGAGCTAGATTCCATATGGCCAACCATGGTTCAAATCTTGGCCCCTGTGGCATGAAAAACCCACTTAGCACATATGCCTACATGCCCAAAATCCTGACAAAAAGGAGGAAAATGGATTGTGGTGTGACCACACTCTGTTGGAGATGCTTTCTCTCTCTCTCTGGTGAGCACAGACATCCTCTGGCAAAAAATAAATAATAACTGGAGTTGAGAATACTAGGTTAGATCTCTGTCTCAGAGCTCAAACTAAATTCCAAATAGATTAGACAGTTTAAAATTTTTTAATTTTATTTATTGTTATTATTATTTAATTTGCATAGGCACTCAGAGACAGAGAGAGAAAGTGAGAAAGCAAGGCACTAGGTCCAGGACTTGAATCATGGTCAGCCATGTGGGAACAATAACAGTTAACCTTCCTCCATGGACAAAGTTGAGGATGAAATTAGAGCTCATCTGCTATAAATGTCTTCTCTCCACCACACCACTTGTTGACCCCAGATTAGACATTTTTAAATGTACACAGTGAAACCACATAAAAACATGGACAGCAATCATCAACATCAGAGACAGTTCGAGAGCAGAGCTAGAAATGGGGGCAATGGGTGTGTGTAGAGTGAAATCAAGGGGGTAAATAGAGAAAAACATTCAACACACAAAAAAATGAAAAAGTATCTGTTGATGACAATGTGTATGATAATTTCCTTGACTGGAATAACGGGGTAGTCGTACTGGGAAAGTTCATTTTCAATATTGTAAAGCTATACAGAGACTGAATGTAAAAGATAAGAAAAAATAATAAAATAAGTCAACAAAACAAAGTGAAGCCATAAAAGTTCTAGAAGAAAACATTGGGGAATTAATTTTTTTATCACATATATATGTATATAAATTTTTATGACATGTATATGGCATAAAAAGTTTTTTGTAAACTTAAAATGGGCAAGGACTTTCTAAAGGCAATATAAGAAGTCCTAAAATAAAACATTAATACATTTGCATATATTAAAGAAAAATCCTGCATACGATGTATAGTCAAAAGACAAGTAAATATTTGCAATTGACGTCACAGACATGAACCTAATTTCCTTAGCATTTGAATAGTTGACAAAAAATAAACAGGGAAAATTAGACAACACAAATTCAGCAAGCCAATAGGTGTATGGGCAAAGGATATGAACACACAATTCACAGAAAGGAAAAGATTCTTAAATACATAAAAAAGAAATTCAACCTTACTCTTAATGAAGAAATGAAAATTAAAACTACAATGAGAGGACAGGCCCCATAGTGCAGTAGTTAAGGAAGCTGGATTTCGCATGGTTCAAATCTCAGCCCTAGCTCCCATGAAGGGAAGGCCACGTGTAGGAGTGTGCTTCAGAAAACCCGGCTGCTGGCAGACAAGGGTCTCTGGCATCACCTTTCTATTAATGTTTCCAAATTCTGCCCTCTCAGAGGGCTTTCGAGCTATAGTATCCCCAGACTAGAGACTGATCTCAAGGGTGCTCCAAAACTGGGTGGGTGTAAGAGAACTAGAATAGCTGCCACAGAAGGGAAAGATGGATGCTGGGGTTCACTCACAGATCTGCCCACCTGGCCAAACAGAGGGACTTCAAGTCTTAAAAGCAGGCAGAAAACAGAGGAGCTTGCCTTCCTAGGAGCCGGCCAGTTGAGCTTCTTTGGAGCAATGTAAGCCTGATAGCTAGATCCTAACCAGTGGGGCTCTCTCTGAGGCTCTATGCTGGGAGTAAAAGGTGACTCCCTAATAACCTCTTCCTTGGAGACAGAGCATTCTACATACATCCTCCTCCATCCGCCATCTGCAGATCAGTCTGTGAATGCCATAGCTGTGTATTGAAATGAGCAGCCCAACCCTAGGTCAATACACTTCCCTGAACTGAAAGAGGTACCTTGTTCTAGTTGTGCTAGGGGCCAGCAGGCTAGATTAGAAGAAAAGAATCCACTCAAAATGCTTGGCAATTCCTTCAGTAAACGTGAGGAGGCAGTTCTAGAGAAGAAAATGTGGAACGGTCAGTCTCATGTGTAAACACAGCCCTCCACAGGGGTCTTTTTATCGATTCACTTCTTGCATACACATGTTCTTTATAAATGTCTTCTCTCCTCATCCCCTCACTCTCCTGGGACTTCACTTGTCCTCTAGATATCCACAACCCTCATCACTGAACCTCTAGGAAATGGCTTTAACTCCAATCCCTTGCTTACCCATCTTCTCCACTGAAACACAGCATGATCAAAAGGGAATTCAAGATCTGCCTTAAATCAAAGTATGCTTAGAGAAACAAAGAATAACTCTGGTAGAAAGCACAGGAAATTGTGTGGCTGCCATGTCCCAACCTCTCCCAGTATTCCCCCTTTCCCTAAATGAGAACCACCAACAATGAAGTCACCCAACTCAGGGCCCGGAGTCATTCTTGAGCTTGATTATGAATATAATTTCATAAAAACAACCTTCCACTCAGCCTTTATTAATGTCCCAGTTCTCACACCCCTCCTCTTCCTTTTTTCAGAAAGTGCTCTGGTTGCCCATAAATGTCACCCGTGAAGGCCATGTTACATGTGGTCTAATACCAGCAACTTCTCTGGTTTTACAACCAGAGCTGTCTTTGTCTTGCCTCTGATTACAGAACGGTTTTTTGTTTTGTTTTGGTTTGGTTTTTTTTGAGAGTTTTTTGCCATAGGGTGCGTGTGCTTACCAGACAGACAGAGAGAGACAGAAAGTGAGAAATCACCCCCCTAGGGGGAATGGCCACGCTGCAATCCCTTCTCCTCCATTTTCCTCTCAGGATCTTGGGCATGCATGCACATGCGCCTGGCGTGAGTTTTAAGCCACCGGGTCCAGGACGCGAACCACGGTCGTCTACATGGGAGTCCAGCGACATAGCCATTATGCTAACTGCTGATCCTATTACAGAGCTGTTTTGAAGGTAGCATGCTCAAGAACTGAGATAAAGACAGAAATTACCAAATTTTACACACCTGTTTATTGATGCAGACTCTCTTATTGATGAAATATTGTCATTATTTCATCTTTCAACCTCACGGGACAGAATCCTTGAACATTCACCTCAGACATATTCTATAGTTTGACAGCTAACAATCTTTCCCAGCCAGTGGATCACAGGGACTGTTGTTTGCACGTTAGCCTTGCGACTGTTAAGAGCTGTTTACTTGTTTTGCCCCTGCCCAGTACCTGGTTTATGTAGGTAATGTTCTTTTCCTTAGCATTATTTCTAAGGCCTAGCTGAAGTATAATAAATACTCAGTAAAGTTTGTGGGAGGGAGTAGAGGAGAAAAACATCAATAAATGGAGAAAGACTATTTTTGTTTCCTAAATACCAGCAGTAAAAACTTTAGCTATTTTCCAGAAGGTGAGGAAGAGCTGGAAACAAAGATACCACAAGGAGGCACTAGAATTCCACATGGGCTCTCCCTGCCAGATCCCACTAAGAGTCTTGACCTGAGCTGGTACCTTGTAACAAATACCTAATTAAGAACAGTGAGCCAAGAAAGATGATTTAAGATGAGAATTGTGGGGGAAATTAATACCAGGAGGCTGTTATACAGCTATGGCAAAGAGATGGATGGTCATTTGAAAGGGTCTCCAATAAGATTTCCCCTCTACATCTGGATAGTCTGGACATCACCCCACCCCTGCCCCTGAGAGCCATGCAGTCAAAGCATGTTGTTTCTTTATCCCAAGTTTCTGCCTCCTCTAATTAAACAAAATGCCCAGGCTCATATTCTTGGGCTATCATTCCAGAACCACAATATTTCCCCATTGGGTCCTCTCTTCATTCCATGATAGATTACAACTGTCACGAATATTATTACCATGTCTTCCTTGTCCTCCCACGAGGTCACTGAAACTTTCATCCCAGACCTTTGAACCTTAGATTTCTGTGTAGGCAGGTAAGAAAGAAAAGAATCCTTTTAAATTACGAATATCTATCTAACTCCTGTGAGGGACTGGGAAATGTAACCATGGAAACCAGAGCATGAGTGTAACCATGGAGATCCATTTAAACCAGCTGAGCCATTATCGTCTAGAAGCTGGTGGGGTGAGGGCTTCTAGAAGGCCAGTTCACCTAGTTAATACGGGCAAGTGATGTCAACTGTCTAGGTGAGTGTTTTACAGATATTTAAGTAATGTCTGGGTACTGCCAATACTTTAAAATGTTACAAAGAAAAAATTTTTCTAGGACTTCCTGTCTGACTGATTTCTAAAGGATGTCCCCCTCTGATCAAATCTTTCTACCCCACCATTGTGGTCACCATTTAATCATTCAGCAATCACACACTATTCGCCTTGGTATGCTGGACATTCTGCTGAATCCCACCGTACGGGGTGAGGGAGCTTGAAAAGTTCATGGAAAATGCCTGTTACGGAAACACAACACAAGCATTTCAAAGTATTTGTGCACCAAAATGAACTCATTCTTTAATTCCATTTTTTTAAATGGGCTTGTTGAAGTCCCCTCGAATATATACCCCAGATAATATATGTGATGTGTCCTACCAACTTTAAAGCCAAGGCAAGCCCTTGACTCCATTGATCAGCTGGGTCTGTACTCCCAGTAACTGAGATGCGAACTAGCCTTTTTGCATTTTGAAGGACGCTTACATTATAAGGATGGTACAGCAATCAGACCATTCTGTTTATCCCATTTATTCTCTGCATTCTCTGTGTGCATTGCAGCCCCATGATCCTCCCTAGCAACCGACTTCCAAGACCTTGATGACATTGTGGCCTGTGAACCCTTTGGGGTATGTTTTGTACACCAGCGTGGTTTAAAGATAGAGCATGCAGTCAACTCACTGGGCCTACCACTTAGCAGTATGTCACCCTAGGCAAGTTATTGGATATCTCCTAACCTCTTAAGTTTCCTCATCTATAAAAGTGAAATAAAACCTATCTATGTTGGTTATTCAGTGAAAATATCACACAACTGTGAAGATTTAGACTTCTACAAAGTTTTCTGTGGTTCCCATTATTGCTCAGCAATCTTCCAGCATAGTCTTAGTTCATCTTCCTTTTTTTTTTTTTTTTTTTTTGAGAGGTTTTTGCTTTAGGGCACATGTGCTCGCCAGAAAGAGAGAGACAGAGATACAGAAAGCAAGAAATCACTGCCCCGGAGGGGATTCCTCTCAGGATCTTGGGCACACATGCACATGTGCCCGGCATGAGTTTAAGTCACCAGGTCTGGGACTCGAACTACATGGGAGTCCAGTGACATAGCCATTACACCAACTGCTGGTCCCTCACTTCACATATTTTAACTCGTTTAGTTACCCCCCTTTTTTTAGAGAAAGATTTTTGTTCTATGGTGCATGAGCTCACCAGAGAGATAGAATGTGAGAAATCACCCCCAAGGGGGACAGTCCTGCTGCAATTCTTTGTCTTCATTTTCCTCTAGGGATTTTGGGCACACATGCACCTGTGCCCAGTGTGAGTTTTAAGCCATCCAGTCTGGAACACAAACAGCAGTAAACTACGTGGGGGTGCAGCGATGTAACCATTACACCATCTGCTGGTCCCCTAATTCTTTTTTTAAAAATATATTTAGTGGGAACCAGCAGTTAGCGTAATGGCTATGTCGCTGGACTCCCACGTAGTCGACCGTGGTTTGTGTCCCGGACCCGGTGGCTTAAAACTAACGCCGGGCGCGTGTGCGTGCGTGCCCAAGATCCCGAGAGGAGAAGGGAGGAGAAGGGATTGCGGCGTGACCATCCCCCCTGGGGGGTGATTTCTCGCTTTCTGTCTCTATGTCTCTCTCTGTCTGTCTGGCGAGCGCACGCGCCCTACAGTGAAAATCTCTCAAAAAAAAAATATATTTAGTTATGTCTTCCATAGTAAGAGAAACTGAAAGAGACAGAGAGATAAAGACAGAGAGAGACAGCACACCCAACAAGTTCTTGACACTAAGATTTACCTCCTTCCTCAGTCAGTCTCAGACCACAGGCACATACAGTCCTGGTATACTTACGAAGGTCCTAGAACCCTCCCATGAATCCTAAACCCTTTCATGTGGTTTAGCCTTGCAGAGCTTCATGTTTTACCACTGCGCCACCTTCCAGAACCCTTAACTCATGTCATTCCTACAACAGTTGGTTGAAGATTATTGTCACCTCTGTTACACAAATGAGGAAACTGAGACACATGCCCCCAAAGGTTGCCCTCTCAACCACTGAGCAATAGTCACTCTCTCTCAAATGATAACGGCTCCTAGCTCACTGGAAATACAGACTCCTTCACATGTCTCCTGTTCAACTCCTACACCTGCCACTGCGAACCGACATCTTCATTAGTGCCAGTCCCGATGGCCTTCCTCCACAGTTCAGAGAAAACAGCCAGCCTTCCTTTGATTCCCCAACCCTAATCGCAAGTTCCCTACCCCCCAGTTTCCCTCTTCTTCCTGATCCTCAGTCCTCTCCCTCATTGGGTGCCTTCTTCTTAGCATGTAATCAGGTCCAAGAGTGTCTTACGTCATTTTTTAAATGTGTATTTCTTTCTTCTTGAGAGAAAGAAAAAAAGAGATGTCTTAAACAGGGCATAAGCCCTGATCCCTCCAGCCTCAGCCTGCCTAGCAAGCCAGGGTCATGAGTGCATGTGCCCTGTGTGTACAGGTCAACCAGAGAGTTGGCCTTGCCATCCTCTGTACGCATCTAGTTTTACCTGGGCAGTGCCTCACCGCCATGCCACCCGTTGGCCCTACCTTATTTCTTAAAAAAGCATTTGACTCTTTTGTCATCCTCACTCTCTTCTTCCCAGCCAAGTTACTACTGCAGAAAGAATACGCTGTGCTCACCTTTACTCCCTTAACTCTCGTTGACTCTAAGCCCTCAACAGTCTGGTTTCCTGACCATCACAATAGTTCTCTCACTGCCACCGAAGATGCTAAAATGAATAACCTTTTTAAAGTCCTGGTCCCATTCCTCTCTCAGCATTTACTCTACTGATCACTTTTTCTTTAGGAAAAAAACCTTTTTAAAGATTTTTGCCATAGGGCATGTGCACTCGCCAGAGAGAGGAAAAGTGAGAAATCACCCTTCCAGTGGGTATAGCCACACTGCAATCCCTACACTGCAATCCCTTCTCCTCCATTCTCCTCCTGGGATTTTGGGCACGCATACACACACACACACACACACACACACACACACACACACACCCGGCATGATTTTGAAGCTGTGAGGCCTGGGACTTGAACTACAGTCAATCATGTGGGAGTCCAGGTCTTAACCACCATGCCACCTGCTGGTCCTGTCCTTGAGAAATTTAACCTCCTTGGGCAAGACCTTCTGTTCCCCCACTCTCTGGCTTGTTCTCCTCTGTCTCCTTCACTGGCTCTTCCCTCACTGCCTGTTCCTTACATGTGGGTATCTCTGGGGATCCTTAAGCATCTCCTTCTCTCTATAGGGACTATCAATATAATGTCTGTGTTTTTTTCTTTGTTTGTTTAGTTTTGTGTTTGAGAGATTTTTTGCCATGGGCACATGCACTCGCCAGAGAGACAGAAAGTAACAAATCAACCCCCGGGGTGGGTGACCACACTACAATCCCTTCTCTTCCACCCTCCTTTCAGGATTTTGGGCATGCATGCACACATACCCAGCATGAGTCTCAAGCCTCCGTGTCTGGGACTAGAACGGTGGTTGACTACATGGGAGTCCAACATTTCAACCTCTATGCCACCTGCTGGCCCCTTATGTCTGTGTTTTTAGCTAAACCTCCCTTCTGAGCTCCATAGCAACAAAAAGACATGGTAAGTAACCATCTCAACCTGAATGATCTCTGGACTCATCCTCAGTCCCTCACTGCAGCCACCCAGGAGCCCAAGTCACAAAGCCCGAAGTCATCCTGCAGTCCTTCATCCCTCCAACCTGCATCACCATGACCCCTTCCACATACATCCTGAATATCTCTTCTGTTTCTTGTCCCATCTCTTTTTGCCACTGCCTTAATCCAGCCCTCCTTTCTTTCCTAAAATATTAAAGTCACCTCCTTACCAGTCTCCCTCCTCCTTAAGCATCACATCTTAAAGATATTAGCAAGGTCTTATTAATATGCATATCAATTTGTTGCCCAAAATTCTGCAAAAATCCTCAAAACCAGCATAATGAAAACAAAGTCCTTTGGATAACAAGATGATCCGACTCCTCCTTCTCCCTCCAGCCCCCAGTTGCCTCTCCACCTCCTTAACCACAGCTTTCCCTGCTCTATGGATACACTAGATGTAATCGTCCCAAGCATTTCTCTCACACTTCCCTGCAGGGTCCATTCCACTCCTGCTTCCCTAGTTTGTACATCAGACAAACTCCACATTCCTGTTCTCTGCCACTGTCCGTCACAGCCCTGGCTCTCCGTGTGCTTCTGCATACTCCCATCTAGCAATTACCTTATTGGACCGTAATTGTTTGACTGGTCCATTTCCTCTTCTAGACTTACTAGTTCCTTAAGTGCTACTTATTTATTGTTATGTATTTTTGTCTCTCCACTGCCCAGAAAAACATCTTGAAGATAATAGACATTTTCTAGATAATAGATATTTATATTGCTATCAAGGGTATGGCAGAGAAATTGCTCAGCTGCTTACATTTTCCCTCATGCTTACACTATCCTCAGCACCATTAACAGCAGGAAGCACATACCAACTGTTAATGGTAACTGAACAAAGACACCTGACCATGTAATAGTTTAGAGCCAGAGAAGTATACTAGTTAGTGCATATCCCAATGTGTGAGATAAACCCATTGGTATACATACCTCAACAATGCCCACATAAGGTGAGAGGTTGTACTAGGTGACTCCTATGGTTGCTTCAAAACCTGACATTCTGGGGACCAGCAGTTGGCGTAATGGCTATGTTGCTGGACTCCCATGTAGTCTACTGCGGTTCGAGTCCTGGACCCAGTGGCTTAAACTTACGTCGGGCACGTGTGCATGCGTGCCCAAGATCCCGAGAGGAGAATGGAGAAGGGATTGTGGTGTGGCCATCCCCCCTGGGGGGTGATTTCTCGCTTTCTGTCTCTCTCTGTCTGTCTCTGTCTTTCTGGTGAGCACACGTGCTCTATAGCAAAAACCTCTCAAAAAAGAAAAGAAAACCTGACATTCTGTACATG